TATCATAAACTCTACAAAACGTTAAAATATTATAACTAAATAGTATATAATTAAATGCATTCATAAATCATATTACTTAATTCTACTAAGATAAAATAGTCTTAATAGTAAAGAGGGGGGCCTTAAGCTCTACCAGAGAGGGACGACATTAGACCAATCATGTCTCTTTCTCCTATCCCAGTATCCATTTTTACCACGAATAAATTCCCATTTATTATCAGAAACTTTTTTGAAATATTGTGGCTTAACGTCCTTGCCTTCATTTCTTCTATCACGTTGCATCTGTTCAAGTTCTAGTTTCAATTTTTCAGCTTTATCAATTTCGCCATTTTCATAAGCTCTAATATCAGGTCTCAACCTTGAGTCAGTTGGTGGAATATTGCCTTTTTCAATAGATGTAATTTCATTTAAATTAGCAGTAAACTTTGTAAAACCATACTTCTTCTTAGGATTGCTTACAAGCTCATTCACCTTCCAAATCACCTTATTACTATTTTTGTCTTTAATTGATTCGGTCCATTTACCAGATAATGTAACCTTTTTATAACTACTGCTTCTCGAAGGAGAAACATTTACAGCTAAATTTTCTGATCTCCCTCCAAACATACCAGCAGATGTAAATATAACTCTTGAATAACCACCATTTGAAGAAGTGACTTTAAATTCATCAATTGGTTCCATATATCTTTCACCGGCTATTAAGTTCTTCAACATGGTTGTTGGCTGAGACCATTCGAATACTTCGTTCATATTCTTAATTCTCAATTGCATTATACCGTCATTATTAAGTTCTATTGATTTACCCCAGAATTTTTGTGTTGGTGATACTGTATAACTACATTCCCAGTCAGAATGTTCAGCATGGAAGGCAAATATTTGAGGCTTATGACAGACCTTTTCGGCAACTAAGCGAAATTCCATTTTATCACTAACGAATTCAAAGGTCTCTCCTAATAAAGGATTAAATGGTTTTCTCAATGCTCTAGTTTTATCCCTATAAATGGATAACATTGAAACAGCGAATGAAGATATAACAGATAATGGTTGTAAAACTGAGTCTGAATCTGAAATCCTCTTTAGTAGATCTGCATACTCAAATGATTCTGAAATTAGCTGAAGAATGGATATAGGTTCATTTGAAGAAACAGGCATCGATATAGAGCTTAAATCCTTTCCTACATTTTTTCTTAAAAATGATAATAAACCTACGGGCTCGGAATTAGAAGGTTTAACATCATTACGACGTTTAACTAAACTATTGATCTGAGGTAAAGGATATAAAATATTATCATTGAAGTCTTCCGTAATATCTTCAAAGGTATCATCGGGATTAGAAATGTATTCCAAAGTAGTCTCATCATCAATAGTTTTTAAAACTTTTTCATATACATCATCAATATATTTATCATGATTTTCTTCAAGTTCTGCTAACATCTGGTCGCCGTCTACTGCTTCATCCGGGATAAGTATAACACCCTGTGTTGTAAGTTCTTCAGCATCAAAATATTCATCATCACTAAAGCCTGAAATTGATGAAATCCTATTCTCAGTAGCTTGTCTAGATACACATTGGTGATCTCTTTGCAAAACAAAACTTTGGGATACGAATTGGTCCAAAAATAATTCCAGATCAGATAAATGTTGATATAACTGATGATAATTTGGCTTCGATAATTCAATTGGTGAATTTCCCCCATAATCAGTTGCTAAAGAATCCATAGATTGCATGTTTGAATTTGAATAATTAAAGTTGCCATGTTTAACTTCTTCACCTTGTGAAGAAAGACTCGATGTTCTGGAAAGTGCTGTTGAACTTGTAGGATCGCTAATTGGAACATACGATTTTGATTCAATTTTACAGTTTTCTAATTTTTGTTTTATTAATTTTAAAGTAGCAGTGAATTCCGAATATTTTTCCTGAGGTAATGGGATATATGGACCTTGAGTTGTTGATAAATATGACATCATTTTCGAAGAACGTCTCTGAGATTTTCTACCATTAGAATTATTTGGAGTGAGTGATTCATCGATAGTTTCTTCTTTTTCATTAACTTCAGTTTCATCAAAACAAGATTGTAAAGCATCCACCCATTTTTGCCATAGTGTAACACTGCTAGCTTTTAGAGCCCATATTTCCATACCAGAATCTATAATAATTAATTTATCCTTTTTGTTTGCACTTACAGTAGATAAACTAATAACAATTTCACCACGACACGTCTGATTTTGCTCGTTAACATAGTAAGAAAGAGTGCCATATTTGAAATCCAATGAAAAAAATCTTTTCTTGAAACCCTGTAATTTCTTTCTTCTCTTTTTATAAAGATAACCTTGTAGATATCTTCCTTGCCCCACAGTCAATACATCTAAATTTTCCTTTGATGATGATGATGCAGATGATAATCTTGGTTTAGATATTCTTGAAGCTGAAGAATTGATGCGAATAACCTCCTTTGGCTTATAATCTGCCGAATGACGGACACTAGCATTGAACAAGATTCTTTTCTTGACGTTTTTAGATGCTGTATTATCTAAAATAAAAGCATAGTAATAATCATCGTCTTTGACCTCTAAAGTACCTTGAGTTAGTTCATTACCAGAGACATGGCCCACCCATTCGACAAGGGAGAACCCAGCTGCCGCCAATTTATCACGAAGAGGGATTTCCTTCGATTGTTGCTGGATGTGTGTCAGAGAGAGAGATCTATGAGGCTTGTCATTTTTCTTCACATCACTAGAATGAGTGTTAGATCTTTTCTTTAATAATTGAGAGTCGGTGACATCTAAACTAACTCGGTTTTCTTGATTCGTAACATTGTTATAAGAACTAGTAGTAGACCTGCTGAGAAGTGCCTTAGTTGTATAATCTAACAAAGCTTGAGTATCAGGAGCGATATGAACAGAAACAGATTGAGCATCAACAGAATTTTTCAACCTTTTATAAATACCTAACTCGATTGATTTTTTCAACGGTTTGACCTGATAATCAACGGTATCTCCACTGGCACACTTTACCCATCGAACCACAAAGGACCTACTTTGAACGTCCAAGGTTTCCATTTATTATATACTAAGTCTTGTAAAATTCTATTTTCTATTCAAAACAATATTATTGATCCTTTTTTGTTAATGCTTTTATTTTTAAGCAGCTTAAAGTTGAAATTCTTCAGCAATAACGTAGAATCCCCCTATTTCAGCTGTTACAAAACCAATTTTCTTCTTGAAAAACACTAAAATAACAAACAATAGAGTTAAAAACCCACGAATCGACACTTGCACCTCTCAATTCTGGTCTTTTGCTTCTTATATTAGCCATAAACATCTCATTTAAATATAATAAGATTTTGCAATTTTTTCAGTTTTCAATCTTTTCAGTTTTGTTGAACTTTAAAAAGCTTTAAATTTGATCCAAACAAAACAAACATGATGAGATTAGATTTGGTTCACAATAGGTGGTATAAGGACGTTACAGGTCTGGAACTGATCGGTTTATGCTTTATTTAAGTAGTTTAGTTGGGTATTGTCATTTTTGTTTTGTACAAATCGGTTTATTACAATCTATTATTTAATTTTTCGGTGATACATTCATACACACCAGTATTTAACAAGATGGTTGAAGAGATGAATAACCCTTATGAACAGGTTCAAATTAATATTTTACAACGTATTGTTAAGAATGTTGAGAGATTGAACCAGAGTGTGACTACTTTGAACCAGACTTTGGAGGATATAAATAGGAAAAATAAGAACTTAGAAATTATGGGTCAGATTTGTGAAAACTACCATAATAATATTCAATTCAACTTGGAAGCTTCAGGAAATCGTAAACCTCCATTGTAATGATGCCTGTTATAGTACTGATAGAGATGTGGTATATTTTCACTTCTAGCATCATTCTTCCAGGTGTTTACCCCAAATAAAACGATCAAAAGTTATCATTACATCCTTACTTTTTTAGTTGGATATATATTCAAAACAGATTATCATTGACTATCGGCTATATCTTTCACAATATTATAATATTTAAATGGGGTTACAAGTAGGTTATGCCCTGTTGAACATTATTATTCACTCGTTGGTGACGTTACGGATAGAAAATTGCTTGATATTTCTGGATCAAAGAGCAATCAAGATAAAAATATAATAATATATTTTGATATTTCCCATTCATAACCGAACTTTAAGTTTTAAAATAGTCAGTCTGGTGTCTCATATGCTCATATCATCCATTTCTGAACAGTTTTCCTGGTGATCCAAATATTAATTTATCACGCATTTTTACCCTACCTTCCGGCTCTTTAAAGGGCCTTCCATAGTATAACGTAGCTTAAAACATTCGATATCGACTATGTAAAGATACAACTAACCAATATCTAGTTAATAAATTAATCTATTCATAAGTTACAAAGGGATCCATCAAAGACCAAAGTACAGCATATTTTAGTTAGTGTGTGTGTGTGTGTTTGTTCAATAGTCATGGCTGATCCTTTTGCTGATTTGTTGTCCTCTTTCAAAAGTGGCAGTACTACTAAAAATGAACAGGCTGATAAAAAAGTGAATATAGCTACTAAACCAATGGCTGAATTGCTTACGGCTCAAAAGCCAGTTAATAATGTTACGTTAATTGAAAATGAGGTCTCTATTTCGAGTAATGGGATCCATGACGATATTGCTGATTTATTTGGATTGTCATCAGAATCGAAACCTATCAATGCATCGAAACCTATCAATGCATCGAAACCTATCAATACATCGAAACCAAGTGAAGGAATTGATGATTTGGATGCAGCAATGAACTTCTTTAACGATTCTCCTCAGGAATCCTTAAGAGGTAGTACTGTGACAACCTCTCCTGAAGTTCAAGATATTGTAGTGGATGAAGTCAAAGATATGGAAATTGCCAAGTTGATGTCTTTAGGATTAGATATCGACGAAGCTACTACACACTACGACAATGGAATTCTATATGAGACATTGGTTTCAAAAATTAGGACAAGTAATTCTAGAATTACTGCTCAAAGGAATGATTCTGGTAGAAACGACATTAGAGCTGAACCCATGAGAAAGCCAAGAACGAGCAATGGATCTTTTACTTTCACTGGGTTATTTGATAAAGGTAAACAACTTGTTGATCAATGGACTGTTTACCACGAAGAAGATGATAGACTATTCAGAAATACTAACTTTAAAGTCGATCCTTCAACAAATACATACCAGCCTTCAGGAGATTATGATACTTCAGATGAAAATCCTTTCAATCAACAAAGTCGATATGACATAGCATCATCTAAAACAACTTCAACTGATTCCCAAACAAGGAACTATCATGACAAAAAGACTAGTATTAATAATAAAGCTCATGAGAGGATTGCCAAAGAAACTCCAATTAATAATCAACCAGCAAATCTAGACTTGTTGAATGATGATTTCATCTCAATTAAACTTTCTTCTGAAAATGTATCTACCAATTTGACAAATTTGGAACAAGCTAAATCAAAACAAGCTACATCAAAACAAGCTATATCAAAACCAATTGTAAATGTTGCTCCTAAAGCTAATAATACGTTGTTAGACTTTGACTCGCCAACTACAGCTGTGCATTCACCAGCTGCATCACTTCCAAAGGTTCCTATTTCTGAGATTGAATTATTAGGTTATAAGGAATTCAAAGAACGTGGTACCGAAAATTTCAAGACTGGTGATTATGTTACCGCGTTAGAAGCATACCAAAAGTCTCTAAATACTTTACCTATCAAACATCCTTTACGTATAATTGCATCTTCGAATATTCTAGCTTCTATGTCTAAAACCGGGGAGTATAGAAAGAGTATAGAAATATCAACATCTGCATTAGAACAATTTCCTGGGGATCAAAAACAATGGAATGAATTTATTCAAGACAGTGAACCTCAAAGAACTTACAAAGATATATGGCCTAAAATTGTTCTGAAGAGAGCAGAAGCATTTGAGCACATTGAAAGTTATGAAAATGCGTTAGAAACTTATCAACAAATGATTGAGAAAAACTTTTTCAATGATAAAGTAATGTCAGGAAAAAGAAGATGTCAGCATGTCATTAACCCAGTTAAACCTACCAAGTCTAACAGTAGTGCACTACCAAGACAAACTAATACAAAACCAAAGAAAGAATCTAATCAAAATAAAGCATATGAGAATGTTGAGAAATTAAAGCAGAAAAATAAATTAGAAGCAGAAATAGAATCTCAAAGGCTAGCATTATATGATAGTGTTGAAGCACAAATTAATAAATGGAAGGCAAATAAGGATGATGATATACGTCATTTGTTATCGAATTTGCAGTTGATACTTACTTGGGGTAATTGGAATCCAGTTCCACCATCAGATTTGGTTATGCCAAAGAAGGTTAAAATTACGTATATGAAGGCTGTTGCAAGAACTCATCCTGATAAAATACCATCTGATTTAGAGTTAGAGAAAAAAATGATAGCTGAAAATATATTTAGCGTATTAAGCAAAGCCTGGGAAAAATTTAAAAAAGATAATAACATGAACTGATAGATATTGATCAATAAAACGGATTAAATTATACCAATAAAATATATAGACTTTTATAAAGTAAAATATAATTGATTATTCAAATTCCATTATCGCTGTAGGCTTTTGTGTATAAACCAAGTGCTTTAATAGGGAACAAAAATCTATAACTTGGGTACTCGATAGCGCAAGAGTGGTTAAATACACCTTCAACACTTTCAAACTTCCACTCACCACTTGGTAATTGTCTATCTTTCAATAATTGGATTCCCCTATCAATAACGTCTTTATCAGGGTATTCTGCAAGCAATAAAGCAACTAGTACCCAGGCGGTTTGTACTACCAATGATTTTTCGCTATCCACATAAGAATGTAACTCACTTGATTTCATAGACTCACCCCAACCGCCATCTTCCATTTGCTTACTGACTAAAAAGTCACAACCTTTACGAACAGTTTCGGAATTAGAATAGTTTTCACCAACGGTGTATAACGCTTCCATTGCAAACATACCTGCATATGTGAAACAAATACCCCAACAACCGTACCAACTACCATCTTCTTGTTGACAAGATTTGATGTAATCGATGGCTAATTTGATTCTGTTGGCAATCTCTTCCTTACGGTAACTACTATGTTTATGGAAAAATGTTAGACCTAATACAGAAGAATCAGTACATTCGACATAAGGGTATTCTACCATAATATTACCAAATACTTCAGCTGGATTCAATGCTTCCATAAACAGCGGAGCCTTAATTTTTTCATAAGTTGCAAAAGAACCATACTCGAAAGATCCTAAATTTTGTAGACTCATTAATACATCAATACCCTTATTTAATCTTTCATCTGAAATCTTATCATGTACTGCTCTAAATACATCTGAATTTCTTACCATAATAATAGCCTTAATTGCTTCAGCAGTACAATCTGAGACTGTGTAACCTTGAGTCTTTGTTGAAAAACCCCAAGCACCTACTCTCTTGTCTCTAAAACTACCTGGCACACATTCAGTGTCAAATTGAGAACGACATAAAAATTCATAAGCTCTTACGATTGTATCATAGAATTCAGGTTTTTCAGCTAAACCAGCAACAAAGAAATATTGAATAGCAAAAGCACAATCCCAAACTTGAACACCATTTGTACCCATTACGGTCATACCTTGTGGCCCATGGAATAGAGCATCTTTGAATCTAAATTCGAATCTCTTAAAAGCTTGAGAATCACGACCTTCTTCAATCAAAGTAACCAAAGCGCAGAATGCTTGATTAACTGGGGCAATGCATAAGTAATCTGTATTTTCAATTTCTTTCTTAATTAGATCATAGACAGTTTCTTTTGATTTATCGTGGACCCATTGTGGTCTTAAATACTTTTCATAGAATACGATACAGTCGTTAGCAACATCTAATACTTTAGAGTGTGGATAATATAGGTCTACACCACAAACAGTATTTCTATGTCTTGAAAAATCGATAGAATCAAAAGGTTTGGTATATATTTCTTCTCTCAATTCTGCTAGTAATGGAGTCAATTCGCATGAATAACGAACTAACGACAAATAACTAATTGGTAAATAAACACCTCTTGTATGAACCCACCATCTACCAGGATGGATTGAAAGAGAGTAAGGTAGTAACCAAGTCTCTGGAGGAGCAGGATTGACACCCTCCCATTTGTATAAATTTAATGTACTTAGCCAGGTCTTCCCCCAATGAGGAGCACCAATGGCACCACCTAATTTTATCAGAGTATCTCTAGCTTTGACACAAACAGGATGATCTTTTGATAAACCTAATAAACGAAGGTTAACATAATTCAAAACAGTACCAAAAACAGTACTTTTATCAACAGAATGTAAACCCCATCCACCATCTACTGGGTGAGCTGTATTGACAATATATCTAATTAATTCAATGCGCTCATGATCTGGAATTTTAACACCTGCAATATAATTGACAGCAATATATCCAATTGTCATAAACATTGGACCCTTGTACTGACATGGAAATATACCAGAATTTTCATCTTGTAACAATTTAAAGAACGATGCACCATTATGACAAGCATCGTAAGCAGTATAGTTCTCATTCTTGTTACTAGAATTCTTCAAAGGAGAAGGAGTGGGAAATTCAGGAACTTGTAACAACCATTGAGTATAACTACTCTGTGGATCTTTATCAGCATCCTCAGGAGTTAAATATTCCCAACTTTCACGACCTAATTTATCAGTACGTAATCTCCACAACTTGGGATCAGTTTTCTCTAACCCAATTTCTTCACTGTAAAATTCAACCATTACAACAATATCACCTATATCACCACTTATGATATTAATTCAATCAATTTAATTAACTTATTATCATTTTAAATTAAACATTCTTTAAACTGCTAAACGACATTATTGCAAGTTTTAAATATTTAAAGGCTTCGTTCCTTAACAAAAGCTTTAAAATATTTCAGCGATGAGGTTGAAAAATTATCAATAAACTCATCAACGTAAATGACAAGTTTTTAAAAGGTAGGGAAAGAGGTTTTTGACGTGGTTGATATCATTCATTGATTGGGATGGGTTTCTCTGAACTGAGAGTTGTTTCTTTAATATATCCCTTTGAGGTTTTAATTGGATGGGCATTGAGTAAAATTATTGGTGATTTGAAACTAGAAAGTCAAAGAAACAATTTCTATATACTACGATCTAGTAACATTGTAAATGAGTTATTTGCTTATCATGGTAATCAAGTTTGGTTAGTTTTATTCATATTCCTATGTTTGGTTCAAATCTATTATCGTTCAAAGAGGTTTAGTTTGTTGATAAGTTCGGAAAGTTTCAATGGTAGAGATCAGCTTATAGCAAGAGGTAAACCTTTGGTGAAACAATATATTTGCAAGTTGATCTTGAAGAATCTGATGCTGATACTTGTTTTTTCAGTGATTGATAATGTTTTCATCTTTTCTGGTGGTGAATGTACCTCAGGAAGTGGTACCAGATCTTCTCAGCGTTGTCGACATGAAAATGGTCATTGGGAAGGTGGATTTGATATCAGTGGGCACTTCTGTTTTTTAGTAACAATAAGTATGATTCTGTGGATTGAATTACATCAATTTAAGAAACATGTTGACTTAGAAGGTTTATCTGGTCAATTAAGTTTGTATTCTAAAATAATTTTAATGACTGTATTTACAGTTTTATGCATTTGGGTTTTTATTTTATTTATTACTTCGGTCTATTATCATACTTTCATGGAGAAAGTATTGGGTTGTGCCATGGGTTATATTACTCCTTATGTAATGTATCATATCATCCCAAACAACGAGTTTTTGTATTCCATATTGTACCATTAAAATCTAAATAATTTATTCTAATAAATAATATAAAATGACGTATTTAGAATAATATAGGTTGGTATATAACAAATAATATAGCACGGAATCAAGAGTCTATATCTTTCTTGTCCGTTTCATGCTTGGTGTTGTATTGTTGATTTCAACATTTAATGAATAGTCCAGCTTCCTTAAACACCATTTTTCCATGATGCAAAGAGATCTCTGTGAGATCCCACTGACAAGACTCCAGGAAGCCATGGATAGCTTCGAGTCTTCGATAAATTTCTGAGCAATGATCAAAGAAACAAAAAAAATTCGTTTCACACAATCACTAAAATGTGGCTGGGTTCTTTCGACATTGCGCAACTTCTTATAGATATGTTTAGTATACACAGTAGCATACTTGATAGTTGATTTAGAACAGCCAGATCTCCTGATCACTTCTTTAACAAAAGACTTGATATTAGATCTTTCATATTGAATATTAACATCTGATAAATATGCATCCTTGTTAGACAAATGATATAAAACTTGGGTAACTTCATTCACAGTTAGGATATATTCAACAGCGTCACTGATCTCGCCATTAATTATAACGTCATTATCAAATCTGCCACTACCATGACAGATCCTACCTACTTGTCTCTTCCCACAATGAAGATTTAATCTCGCAACTGCAACTGCCATACTCAACACTTGATAACTACTAAATCAGTAATAAACCCAATAAACTTTATCAACTTGATAAGCTCTATTGGTGTATATATTACTATGAGGAACAACGTTCCAATAAAAGAGAATAAAAACCTTTTCTCCAAAACTTGCAGGACTCCAGTAACCTAGAACCCGCTCTGGCCTCCTTCCATGAGACTATAAATTCCCAAATCATAAACCACAATCTCCCAAATCACCTCTTCTTATATACATTTAACTAAATCTACTTTCAATCATTCGATGAGTCTTCTTCCAATGAGGGTATTACTTTTAAAATTATCACCATTTGGTAGCACCGCTCCCCTTTACTATAAGGCTTTCGAAAAGATGTGACTAAGAAGGAAACAGTCATAGTGTTGATTAGTCACACACACAGACATACAAGACAGGACAAGATAAGAAAAGATGCATTTTCATATGATAGAAATCAGAGATTGAGAATATATTTACATGAATAACTATTTACTGATGTTTATTAACTATGTCACTGACAGGATTGTCATTTTTTTTTGCTTTTTCATTATTTTGTTTGTTGGTGTTTTGAAGAATTTGATGCAGTTTCTAGTTTTGATTGGACACCAGAACTGACGTATTTCTCGTAAAACCCAATTTCTTCTTTACTCTTGGAGTCACCTTTCTTCTTGGCTACGATACACCAAGTGGTACCTAAATGTGTCCTTGATTCGTCGACTATGTCAAGACCAGAATCGTCAAGAAGTTCACCGATATCTAAGTTCCATCTACAACCCCAGGTTTCTAAACGTTTTTCAGCTCTATCATCTAGAGCTTTATTGATGAAGTCGTATTCACCTCTACCGTGCTCTAATAATACAATTCTACCACCTGGTTTTAACAATTTAGCAAAATTTTTTAAAGCCTTCACCGGGTCTTCATGTGAACATAATCCAAAACTCTCAACAATTGTATCATATTTCACAGTTTTGGATTCCTCATCGTTACGGCTGGCTAGGTTCAATAGGTCTTCAGCTTTGCCAACGACGAATGCTGCATTGGCAAATTTTGGGAACCTTTCTTTAAATTTTTCCTGAGAAAGTTCTATCATATTTTTTGATGAATCTATATATGTAATTGAATGCACTTGACTTGGGTCCAAATATTTGATATTACGGCCTGTACCACAAGACACTTCTAATACATCTCCTTTGCAATGTCTCATCAACCATTTACGTCTTCTGCCCATAAAAATCATTCTTTCTTCAAAATTGACCTCTTTATCATAATCAACAGCCTTACCTTCATAGAATTCGGTGGTGTCTCTTGCAGGCAATATGTGTTTGTTCTTATTGTTTATCTCATATTCTTCACCATCCAATTCTACCCCATCGAAATTATCTTTACCCTCTTTCTTCATTTCTTCATACTTTTCCAATTTCAATTTATCCCTAGTTCTCAATTTACCAGTCATAGACTTCATTCTCAATTGCTCATACTCATTGATATTACCAGTAGTTTCTTTGGCTTGGATCGTTTCTAATTCCTTTTCTTTGCCATACAATTCTTTCATAAAACTACCACCATAAATTAAAAATATTACATAAAGACCAATTAAATATTTGGTCATACCTTTCCTAAACTTGTCAGATCGAGCAATGGCTCCCCACCTGATAAGACGGTTGTCTGACTTCAACTGCCGTTCAAATAATTCATTGGCAATCTCCTCTTTAGTCTTTACCTTACGAACTCTTGTATTGGGTTTAGAGATATAAGTATGTGAATTGCTAGAAAACCTAACAAAATTGAACCCAACTTTAAAGGTTACGGGACCTAAACGATGGCATTTCACCACCAGATTACGGATCATCATCGATATAATGCTGACCTGATTCGATATTATATATATATCCTTGATCACTGGCTATCTTGTTACAATCTTAAATGCGATCTCATCTACTGATGAACAATTTTATATCTATGGAATAATTTTTCACTTCTGATATAAAGTCTTAAAAATCTATCGAATATAAAGAGATGTGAAGATAAAGTCGAAAATGTTCAAAAAGAGATTAACAGCATTAGTCTTTTTGTTATTCAATGGTCAGTATTGGATTATTTGTTACATGTAGCTATTAATTCCGCAAACATAATCGAATTGTTTGCCATAATTAACCTTAATTTGTTGCCATCCTGTTTCATCAATATAGTAACTGATGTATCTGGATAGATAGGGTTGATATTCTTGTATTTCAAGTCAGTGATTGTAGTGTTATTCACAATTTTGTTGAGGTTGTGGGCTAATATTTGTATAATAAATGGACCTTGAGCAATTATGTCATTGTAACCTTCGATTGATTTCGAATACTCTTTATCCCAATGAATTCTGTGAGGATTCAAAGTCAGTTGACTGTATCTTATGATATCCATTAGATTAAATGTGAACTCTCCAACTACTGTGGTTCCTATGGTTTCCTCACTATTAGGTTCATTGATTGTTGTACCGGAATTGGTATAAGCCAAGATTCTCATCTCTTTTAAACTGATTTCATCAGAGATCTTTGTAACACCATTAAGTTTAGAAGTTTCAAAGATTATTCTCTCAATTCCAACGTATTGTGTTCCCTTTACTTCTTTAACATACCTTATATTCTCTTGACATATATAATGTTTGTTGAATTCTAACGGTTTGTAATGGTTGATAGAACCACCTGCCCAAAGACGTCTTTTGAAATTGAAACAATTACCAGTTGAGAGAAGAGCTCTAGGTGTTAAATCTTCGTAATAACCATCTAAACTTAGATCACCTTCAAACCTGTTCAAATACAGTAGGTGCTCGCCAATATTTAATGCTTTTTTATTAGGTCTGGATGGCAACTTCAACAATAAATAGAATCTGTCAACTTGACATTCACTAAAGAAATCCCTAATGGCATTGCCATTGAATGATTTTATAGACATTGTGAATGGCTTGGTTCATTACTTCTAACTTATCCTTTGCAAGACTATATACAAATTTACGATGCTGAAGGCAGACGACTATACCTTTTAAAGGTTCATCGATTATTAATTTTATGATTAAAGGTATAACAATTATATATGCAAATGATGAAGGTTAGACAGATAAAGTACTTAGACTCAAATGCCAACCCAATAAGAAGATAGATTCAACAGTAATGGATGCTGATGAAGATTTCCAATATACCACTGAAAATATTGATGAGATATCTGATTCCAGCGATGAGGAAGACTTTGAATGGGAAGATGTTAATCTTGATTCAGAAATAGTAGTGACTTTAGATAATCCAGATACTTCACATGTGTTCAAAAGAGGTGAGAAGATTAAGAAAGTATCTAATCAGTACCAGAAGTTGAAATATGGATTACAGTTGGCAGAAATACCCTTATTTTTACGAACATTAAAAGAAAGATCAAGCTGGGCCAAAGATGAAAGATTGAACAGAAGATTGAAAAGATCAGTGCCAAAACTAATTATGAAGAAGTTCAAGAAATGGTCTAGTGAAAATTCTGAACAGAGACCAAAAATGTTAAGAACTTTACTTTTAGGATTGATTCTTTGGTTCAGAACAAATTACAAGATAAATGCTAATGGGTTTCGACAGAATTTTAATAGGCTACAATATCTGATAAGATATTACAACTCCAGCTCTAAAAGTCTATCGGAGAGGGCTACCTATTTACTCAATCATGAATATATTCACTATGGATCAAGGCCTTCAAATATCGATTCTGTTGATGGGATTAGAAATATGGCTAAGCAAAAAATGGCAAATAGGGATATCTTATGTCTATTCTTCATAATTATTTTGAAAAACTTACTACCAGCTAAATATGAATTATTTCTATGTTTTGCATTGCCATTGCATGATTTTGAGATGACATCCACCAATTTGAAATACCAAATTAATGAAAACATTGGTACAATTCCAAACCGTTTTGATTCAGATTTATTAGTACCCAATTTTTGGATTGAACTTAAGACTATTGAGAATGAACTGTATATCATTGATCCAATTGTAAGTGTTAAAGAAAGTAACATGGTATTTAGACAAAATGAGAATCGAGTTTCTGACGTTTTCAAGCCCAAGCACGATTTCAAATCTCAAATAGTCCAGAAATTCGATTATGTTGCAAAGATTAATATCAATACATCTTCAATTAGTGACGTTTCTCCAAGGTACATATCAGATTTATGTTTCAGATATTTCCCTATTCAACCATATTCTAGCCTTTCCAAATCAAGAAACATTAAAAGTTATCAATTGTATATTGCATCGATTTGTAAGCTGAATGAAAATAATTCAGGAAATTGCGATATTGATTTTGAATCAATGGAAAAGTTGGCATTCAAACATTATACTCTGCCAAACAGTTATTTAGATATGAAAAAGGCTGTAAATTTTATTGTTCCAAGTTTACTTAAAAGTAATGAGACTTTGGATTCTGATTCTGTAAGCATTGGTGAATTTTCTTATAATATTAACAATAAAGTGGTAAAAGAATTAATATACTGGAAGAATGCAGTTACACAATTGAAAAGTAGGCAACACTGGGCAATTTTAGGTCGAACGGTAAAAGAATGTTCTACCCCAGTTAAATTTAAAAAATATTTGACTATGAAAGGAAGAAGAGACAGTAAAATAGATCAGTATGCAATTAAAGAATTATTTTCTTATAATCAAACATCTAAGGCACTTCCACCGAAAAGTATAATTATAGACAAATATGGGAATTCATTAAGAATAACAAACCCGTTACATTTTACAAATGAATTAAACCATGTAGAAATTTACTGTGATTCGATGATACCAGAAGGTTTTTCATTAATACCTATATCCAAAGATTTGAAACTTCAAATAACTAAGTTCAATAAAGAAATTATGAAGAAAAGGGATTCTAACACTATCAGATATGCAGAAGTTGTAACTGGATTTGATTTCAAACGTAAGCCAGGATATGCAATGCCAAAAATTTCACATATATTAGTGAATACAGTTGATTCCAAAAGAGTTCAAGATATAATAAAGCAAAATAAGGAATTGTCAGCTTTACTTGATTGGAAACAATTAATAACCAGAACTAAAATTTTTGAACATATTGAAACAAATTACAGCAATTATGATTAATGTCATTCTGTTAATAGATGATCTCTAAAATCTGTCAAGATCAATACTGATAATATTATTCTAGCCCTGACGTTATATACTTCAAGGACGAGAAAAATTGTTTATCACGTGATCTATTTCTTTTTATTTCAGCCCTCAATCAGAATATTTAAAAGTCGATGAGGTCAAGTTAAGAAAGAACAATGTTATATCAAAGAATAATAGTTCTATGAAATATTCAAGGGTCATATCTGCTTCACTATTGGTTGTTGACTTATATTATATACTGTATTTGTCTGATATAGTTGCAACTTTTAAAGTTTTGGTCATATGACTGAAGATTTACAGTATATTAATGGGTTTGCACATTGGCAGCCAGATGAAGATATTAGAAATTGTTTAAACTGTTCAACTAAGTTTTCCTTTTTGATAAGGAAACATCACTGTAGAAGTTGTGGTGGGATATTTTGTGCATCTTGTAGTGATTATTTTGTTAGGTATGATACTGACAGAGTTAAAGTTGTGAAGAGATGGCCTGCGGAGGAAGAATATGCACCTTATAGAACTTGTGATTCATGTTATAAGAATTTGTTGGGATTAGGCCTCTTGAAAGGTCGTTATAGAAATTCATTGAATAATGTTGATTCTAACAGCAGCACTGAAGATGTAGATGATACGAATGAAATACCTGACCCAATACAATCAGAGGAGTCTTCTGTTAGAATATCCGAAGAAGTTGTTGATACAAATAAGAATAATAGGAACCAAAATGAAAATACGACTGTTAGAGATAATAACAACGATATTGTTGATGGTGATGGTGTATCAGATACTGTACGACAAGATTATAGTGAGGAATCTCATTGCCCAATATGTAACTTATATCTGGTAGATTTTAAGTTAGAATCTGATGCGACTAAGCATGTTGAGATATGTGTTGAGAATGCTGCAAATATGCAACAACATTTAAGTAGCGCAGAATCAACTGAGAATACACCAAGTAATCACAAGTCCAGAATGCTTGTGTATCAAATACCTGAATCTGAGGGTTCGAATGATGAAAATGTTGAATACGCTGAATGTCCTATTTGTTTTGAAGACATGGTTCCTGGCGACAAGGTGGGTAGGCTAGAGTGTTTATGTGTATTCCATTATAATTGTATCAAATCCTGGTTTAAAAAGAAGTCTAAGCAAATGAAAACAAAAGATCCAAAAGCTGTTTTAAAGAACTTCTGTCCGCTGCATGATGCAGTATTCTAATGCTGCTTTAATTTTTATTTTAATTTTTTTTATTATAAATTTCGATTTTATCTGTATACTAATATTGGGATACTATAAAATAATTGTTCTCGATATATCAAATTATTGCATTACAAACTACTACTTAATACGTAATTATATATAAAATATGATCATTGGTCCAATAATATATAAAATGAACTAATAACACTGAATTTTGCAGAGAATTTCTCATTCTACCTCACTGAATAAATCACTGTCCAAATCTTCTGGAACATCGCTATAGCGTTCACTATCGCTTGAAGATGAGTCGGAACTTTCTTGACCTGACATATTTTCTGCCTCTTCGCCATTTTGCATTGCTTCTTGTTTTCTTTGTTCTCTTCTTGCTAATTTTCTTTCTTTCTTTGCTTCCTTAACAGCTTTCTTTCTTGCTATATTTTCTTCCTGTTCCTTTCTTCTCTCCTCTTTTAATCTCATCTTCTGAGCATGTCTCTTTTCCAAAGCTTTAATTTCAGCACTTGTTTTTTGAACAAACTCGTGATGTAAGACCTTACCTGAACAAATACCTTCTTCTATTTTAACCAACTTCAAGGTTAATCTTGGACCAATTTCAGTCAATTTAATGGCTTTCTTTCTTGGAACAGGAGTATTTTGACTTGTAGTATCTTCAATCAAATTTTCCTTCTCTTCAGGTTGTATATTATTATTTTCTTGTGGAATAGCTTTCTTAGTTTTTATGTCTTGTTTGTCAACTACCTTGACAATTGATTCATCTTCTACTTCTGACTCGGAAGTATATGCTCCAATATCATGATCTAAAATTAAAGAAGAAATATCTTCCTTTTTATGCAGATTTGGTACAGTTTTATGCAAATTATTTTTAGCTCTATAAAGTCTTTTTAAATTTTTAGAAATTTCTACTTCTCTGATGTCAATGAAATAATGACGCATAGAGATTTCTCCAGTTTCTTGATCTTTATTTATCATGAAAACACGTTTAATAGAACTTAACCGCGTTCTAGAAGGATTCAAAGGTGGGAACACATTTTGGAACATTGAAACCATAACTTTTTCCACATTTTCATTAACCTCATCATTATCGTCATTTTTTTTCAAAGTGGTAAAACCATTTAAGACTAATAGAGGAGGATCTAGCACATCTTCTTTATTTAAAGATTTTGGTCTTTTCAAGAATTTTTTGATATCTTTCCCCAAAGAATAATCTGTCACTTGAAAAGTAACAGTAGGACCATGAGGCATCCTAGAAACCTTCAACGATACATTACCAGTTTTCTCAGATTGAGTAAAGATAAATAAATGAGATACACCTAATGGACCACACATCACTACGAAATCTTTCAATTTATTAGATTTTCTTTCTTTCAACTTGACAGCAGTGTATGGCTGCATGATCTGACGAAAATCCTTCACCAACTGGTTTAAAGAATGGTTACCCAACGAAGTTGGCCCAACTCTTATAACCATAGATTTTGGAACATCTTTTAACTGATCCGCTGACTGAACCACATGAGTTCTCTTCTTAGTTCTTCTCTTGGCCATAGTTTAAAGTATTAGGTACTCAATGGGCCACTAGACTTGATCTTGATATCCAAAGTGTTCCTTTCCCAACAAAAATAACATCAAAATTAAACATTTCTTCATTGTATAACCATCTTTATATATAGCGATGAGCTTATATCTTCGAGAGATGTCCTTTCATTGTTTCGTAGTTTAAAATTTTCGATATTCCAATAGTTTTTCGTTTGTAATGATTGGTTTTGTAGTCACGTGCGCAACACATAACTCCATGTAAAATTACTGACGCATATATGGACTGAATAAGTCAGAGTTTGGTATGTATTATATATATATATATATATATGAGTTTGATATCTGAAAACTGTATGTATATGCATATGTGTATAAGTATGTGATGGAAACGTTTGTTATAGTGGGGTACGTCTTAGGTAATTGGTTTCTAACTAGTGTCGCATCATTTCACCAAGAAAATAATTCAAACTAAAAAATGGAGATTTGTACTAATTAAATGACCTGGATCTTAACAATTCAAAGGGTTATATAAATAAATAGTTGGATTTAAACGCCACCATTTTGATATGACTAGTGTTAAAACACACCCACTCATATATCTCGGTTCTTGTCCAACCTAGTCTGAATCTCATCTCATCGCATCTCATGGCATCGCATCTTGTAGATTTCATCATTGCTAACGAATGAAATTTTTCATCGATATCTCATCGAACCCAACTTAAGCCATTTAAAAGAACCACTAGACATGGTTTAGCTACTGTTTAGAAGGTTGTTGTTCGACCTAATTAACTTCTAAACATTGATTTATATCTCATTGTCAAATCAGTGTCTAATAAGTTTTCTTTTCTGCAGATGTCTTCTCCAGTTATTGGTATTTCCTTTGGTAACACTTCCTCTTCCATTGCATACATCAACCCAAAGAACGATGTTGATGTTATCGCAAACCCAGATGGTGAACGTTCTATCCCATCTGTTTTATCATATGTAGGTGATGATGAATATCATGGTGGTCAAGCTCTACAACAATTGGTCAGAAACCCAAAGAACACTATTATCAATTTCCGTGACTTTATTGGTTTACCATACAGTCAATGTGACATCACAAGATGTGAAAGTGGTGCTCCAGCTGTTGAAGTTGATGGTAAAGTTGGTTTTGTCATTTCCAGAGGTGAAGGTAAGGAAGAAACTTTAACCGTTGATGAAGTTATTTCTAGACATTTGAAACAATTGAAATTGGCTGCTGAAGATTACATTGGTAGTACTATTTCTCAAACTGTTCTTTCTTTACCAACTAACTTCACTGCTGAACAAAAGTCCGCTTTGAGTGCTGCTGCTGCTAAAGTTGGTTTGGAAATTGTCCAATTCATTAACGAACCTTCTGCTGCCTTGTTGGCTCATGTCGAACAATTCCCATTCAAGAACGACGTCAATGTCGTTGTTGCTGACTTTGGTGGTTTGAGATCTGACGCTGCTGTCATTGCTATTCGTGGTGGTATCTTCACTATTCTAGCTACTGAACACGATAACACTTTAGGTGGTAATGATTTGGATAACGAATTGGTCGAATATTTCGCTAAGGATTTCGAAAAGAAGAACAAATCTAATCCAAGAACAAACGCTAGATCTATTGCCAAATTGAGAGCCAATGCCTCCATTACTAAGAAGACTTTGTCTAACGCTACTTCCGCTACTATTTCTATTGACTCTTTAGCTGATGGTTTCGATTACCATGCTTCTATTAACAGAATGAGATTCGAATTAGTTACCAACAAGGTTTTCGCTAGATTTTCTTCTTTCATTGAAAAGGTTATCGCTAAGGCTGAATTAGATCCATTAGATATCAATGCTGTCTTGTTGAGTGGTGGTGTTGCTTTCACTCCTAAATTATCTTCCAACTTGGAATTCTTGTTTCCAGAATCTGTTGAAATCTTAGGCCCACAAAATGCTGAATCTTCTAACTATCCTAATGAACTATCTGCCTCCGGTGCCGCTTTACAAGCTGGTTTGGCTTCTATTTATGATGAAGATGAAATGAAGGAAGCTTTGCAACCAATTGTTATTAATACTCCACATCTAAAAAAAGCTATCGGTTTAGCTGGTGCCAACGGTGAATTCTTCCCAGTTCTGATGGCCGAAACTTCTTACCCAGTTAAGAAATCTATTAAATTAAAGGAAGCTTCTGGTGATCTATTGATTAGTGTCTATGAAGGTGAACATCACATTGAAGAAAAAACATTAGAACCAGCTCCAAAGGAAGAAAATGATGAAGACAGTGAAGAATGGTCTGATGACGAACCAGAAGTTGTCAGAGAAAAGCACTATACTTTGAGTACTAAATTGATGGACTTAGGTATTAAGGATGTTAAGAAGGGTGTTGAAGTCACTTTCCAATTGACCAAAGACGCTAAATTAAGAGTTTCTGTTAAGGACCTAAAATCCGGTAACATTGTTAAAGGTGAATTATAATTGTTTAGTTTGTAGTAAGATATATTATTCTGTATTTTAAATTGATTGATAAACAAAAATTGAAAATAATATTGATTATTGGATCTTAAATTGATTACATGGGGAGATTACTATTGATTGAGTTTGATATATTTTATCACAGCCCTAGCACCTTCGATATCTACTTATTTTATCAGCTTTTAGTAACAATATCACGAATGTGACAGTATGTCACAAATTAAATGTTTTGTAGATTTTCATAGGTTACTGTCAATTGAATTCAATTTTAACTTTGAGTTTGTTGGAAGGACAAGATATGAACAAAACTCCTTAAAAGGTATATGTAACAAAATAAGATTAAAATCGCTGGTACTCGAGTAAAATAAAGCATTCAATGGGGGGTATTTTCTACTGTTACTTTAGTATGCTTAAATAAATTGTCTACTTAGGAATCTATAATTTATAAATGTGTAATAATTATAATTATAATAGTTAGTCTTTCAAATTATTGAACGACGATGCATTAATCTTGAAAATTGGGAGTATTTAAACCGTTGATAATAATTTGTTCCTCGATCTCATATCTCTTTTTCCGCTCATTATTTAGTTCTTCAATTAACGAAACAATTCTCTCGGATTTTGTTCTTAATTCAGTTTCATAATCTTGGATCGATACAAATCCTGACATTGTAGGACTTGATATACCTTGGCTGTCTAATCTATTCTCTAAAGAAATTTCCCTCTGGATAGAGTCAGCTAATTCTTTGGAAACGATAAAAAGCTCACTTGTTAATTCTTTATTTTGGTTCAAAATGTCTAATCTTGAATCAACCAATTCTGGGGAATTGGATGTATTTGCAGCAATATTAGTGGTTCCCCTTTGGCCAGTTTCACCTTCAACAAAGATTGCTGATTGGCTAACTTCAAAACTGAAGCGGTCTTTGCTTGCTGAAAATTTTGATTTTAGATTAGATTCATCTTTTTTCATCTTATAAATATTTGACGTCAGTGTTGGTTGTTTAATCTTTTTATATTGAAATGTGTCTTCGAGCATTTCATGATTAGAGTTAGACACGGAAACTGACTCGTTGACCGAATCATGTGTTAATGTCAATTTTGAATGTTCCAGGTTTAAGGTTCCTTGAGAAATATTTTTATGATTGTTGATATCAGAAAATGTCAAATCGTCAACTTCATTACGTTGAAATTCTTGTGCTGTCATATACTTTCCTATGTCAGTTGAATTTTCCAGTTTGTAGAGACCAGTGACGGTTCTTTGCTCGTGTATTTGAGGTGAGTCTCTGTTAGAGGAAATATAAGTTGATATTGAATCTTTAGTAATTCTGCTTTCCTTTTCAAAATTCAAATCGTTATCATTTTTAGAGAGTAAGGGCTCACTTGAGGCTTTCGTAGATGAACTTCGTTTCTCTAATGATTCCATTATATAGTTTTCCTTCTCAGTAATTTCCTGTTCTCTTTTTATAAGTTGTTTCTCTCGAACTAATAAATTATCTTCCTTCTGTTTTAAGGTCTCTTCTTTTTTCTCAATTTTTTTCTTTAATGTCTCCAATTCAGACTTCATTAGTTGCAACGCCGATGACTCTTCAGTATTATGATTACTTACTTGATTTTTCAGTGGTGAACTTGAGTGTGATATATTACTATCAAATTCATGTGAGCTTAAATTTGGTTTAACTACTGGAGAACTTGAGGATATGTTGGAAAATTCAGAAACAGAAGAATTCAAATTATCAGTAATCAAATTTGAAGTTGAACTTATTGCTGAAGATTCATCAGTGGATATTTCAATTTTTGGAATTTGATTTCTATATGGGGGAGTATCAGCTCTGATATTCTGTTTATCTTGAGGTTGAAAATGTTGCGATTCGCTGTTATATACATGTTGTGGATTTGAATTATTTGGGAAAGGTTTTTGATTTGAGTATAATAGATTATTGTTATATGCAAAATTTTGGTTAGTATTAGATGGCTTAATGTCAGTTAACGAATTGGCTCTATTTTGATCGTAATAACCAGGACCGATAGGTCTCATTGGATGACGCATTGGAGCATGCTGGATGTTACCATTCCTCGTTTGATTTGGATAGTTTTGTAATGACATAGATCTTTGATCATTAGGATGGTTTGCTTGATTCTGCCTTGCCATTGTATTTATTGCCATTTTTTTCTGTGTTGTTTTATATTTCCTATAAGCAGAACTATTCGTATTGGAAGAACCATCGATGCCGATAGTCGGTATGATTGGGGTTGAATCAGTGCTGTGATTGAATTTATTATTTTTATGACTTATTGAAGTCACGTCATTAAAGGAATATGGATTAAATGTATTACCATTGATTTCTACCCCTTCGTCATCGTCGATAGCGCCATCGCTATGATTTTTCTTCCCAAAATTATTTAGGCTCTTTCCAAATGGAATATTGGGACTTTTAACCTTTAGTAAATTGGAGATTGATCTTTGATTGAATGACGAAGTTCTACTATTATTACTATATGAGCTTCCGGGATAATTTGGTCTTGGAACACCTCCCATCTGTGGCATGGAAGAATTCCCGTTCATATGCATGTATGGAACATTGCTTTTATAATTAGGCTTCCTAAATTGTTGTTGAGGTCCTCCGTAATGTTGGTTTGGCATTCTTTGGTTCATTATATTCGCATTCATATTCATATTCATATTCCCATGCGGTCGTTGATGTTGGATATTATTCATAGGTAGTCTATGTTCATAATTTATATCTATATTACCAATATCATTTTGTAATAATTGGTTTCTCATTTGCCATTTTTTGTTATTAGGATTACCAGGAGCACCTGGTGGAGCTCTTGGTGCCATTGCAGCTAGACCTGCATCCATTGTAGGCAAATAAGTTTAAGGTTGGATAAGATATACACGACTGACTTCAATAATGGCACATGTGCATATGCCTCAATTGATATATATGCTGTGTTTTTGTGATGTAGATATGTTATATCTGTAGGTACAACTAATGATATAGAAATCCCAAACTTAATACAATTGATATTCAAATACCAGAACTCGAGAAATTAAATTTAATATCGAAGCTTATAATACAATTCGATGGGATAGAATTATAAAAAATTTTCTAAAAGGTTGGTTTGCTTTCACTAGCCATAAAAACCAAAAAGGTATGCTCTTCTTGATAACTGCAAGAACAACTCCTTTTTGCTAATATTATATAATTTTTGAAAAAATATTATCGAGATGAGGTTGAAGGTTTAGAAATCAATATCACAACCACTTATTAGACAAATTTTGAACTGACTATCAAGCAAGGAAGCATCGCTACTCTACATCCCATTCATTCAGAAGTATATATTTTTCACTTCCTGACAGTATTATGGGAATGTTCTGTTACGCGTAAAAAGTTTATTAGAATTTACATTAAAGTTCACGCGTCACTTAGTAATAAAGTAGTAATAAACTTACGATATAAGAGAGTGAAGAAAGGTATTAGAATGAGGATAATGAGGATGATGATGTTCATAATGATAATTGTATCGATTCTTATTGAATTAGATTGTATATTAGTATGCTACCTAACAGTTACTTATGAGTTGATATGTTCATCAAGAGATATAATTATACAAAATATATATATATCCTTATTAATTAAATAAGGAAATTGTTGAATTAGGCTTTTCTTGATTTAACAGATGTTGAAGCTTTTTTGGTAGCAGTAGTAGTAGCAACCTTTGGAGCAGATGATTCTTGTGACTGTGGTTCTTCTAATTCTTTATTACTTTTCAATTGTACAGATTGTAGTTCGTAAATAAACCATATCACTGTCAACCACAAGACAGAAGCTAAAGCAAACATGATAATGAAATGGATATTACCACCAGTAGTGTATATGAGAGAGGCTAAAGTCAATAATAATGCAAAAAATGAAGCATGTGTGGCGATGATGAGTTGTGGTGTGGTTCCAGGAGAGAAAATGCTCTCCCATAACTGTACAAAGAAGTTCGACATCGATTGGTTGATTGATGAAATGGAAGCACAAGACTGTTGACGGTTTGTTTTATTGGGTTGATACCTCTATTCGTAATTTAATAACGTTAAGTAGTTCATATTGTAATCTGGAAATTTAGTTAACCTTTGGTCAATTTTGAGATCGAAAAATGGAATACCACGTCACGTGTGATTAATAAGAGATATTATAATGAACAATCCATCCTCGACGACTCATCGACTGACTGATTGACTAGCAATACTTCACCTGAACTCACTACAAAATTACGTAATAAGACTATAAATATGGTTAAAAATTTAGTTCAATAGGCAGGCTATTTTATTTGGTAATGAGTCTATGTAGTAACTATAATAGCATCTATACATCACTTACAAGCAATGTTCTGCAAATACATATATGTAAATATATATATATATTAATTTTTTTATATATAATACATGCTTGAGTCAACTGTATCAGATAGTTGGCACTTTTAAATGGGAATAATGACAAAATAATATAAATGTTGAAAGATAGTTCAACATTGTAATTATATACCAGAACCCAAAATGAAAGAACCAGCTAAGACAGCACCAATAGCAGCACCGAATTTCCAGGAAACTGGGTTAGCAACCATGTTGGATGGAGCAGCGTTCTTCTTGGTATTGGTGGAAGAGTGAGTAGAGTTGGAAGAGGTGACAGAAGAAGCAGCGACGGCACCATTTGAGACCAAAGCACTGTTAGTACGGACGGAAGAGGACATGGAGCTAGAGTGGGAAACAGAAGATGAAGAAGACATTTTTTTTATTGATGTATATTAAATTGAGTGTTTTGGTTTGATGTATATTAAATTGAGTGTTTTGGTTTGATGTATTTCTATGATTTATGACAAATAAACAACGATAAAAGGAATTGAGATCCTGAAACTTTTCAAAACTTTAAACTATCAAAGAGTTTATATATGATTCAAAATTGTTCAGAAGTGAGAGAAATAAAAAAATAAACTTAGATTTATAATTTTATTTTCGAAATAAATTTCCACTAAAAGAAAGGAGGAAAGAAGCATGCATATACCTATGTTATAATTGCCTCCCTCCTTTTCGAACACCAGTTTCGAAAATTTTTAAATTACCTAACTAAAAATGGAAACATTATTGCCAGTGCTTAATCATAATTCGTGAGCTACCAAAAACTGAAAAACGTTACAGATACGGGAAACGACAAATTTGGTGTAATTGTGTATTGCCCTAAACAGCATCATAAAACACAGCCAACATATTTTTTTTAGTATAAAAATTTCAAAATTTTGGTTTAATTTTAGTAGAAGGATCTAACCATACAGTTGGTGTATGTTCATAAAAAGAATAGTCGACCAACACGTACACGTACACTTACATGTACACATACGTAATAGTTCTCTTACTCATTTCCCTCTCTTGATGTTACCGTAATAATCGATAACTGAAACAAAAAATATTTTTTTTTTTTATTTCATTTCGAACCAGCAGTCCAATATGATAGAGGTATAGAGAGTAAAGAGCAACCAAAAACGGTTATAGAATCCTGCAACAGACAAATAGCGTTACCACTACGATATTTAATTATTTCACTCACCTACTCACTAACTAACTGACTGAAAGACCAGTACTCTGAATAACGGGAATTCCAATAAAACCACGAATTTAAAGTAATATGATGCAGATGTAGTTGTAGATGTAGTTGTCGTGTAATTTGTAAATATTGTAAAACACCTGAGAAAGGTTCAGGGTCAGGTCCAACCACTGGCATTATAAGTGATATCGGCATTGAGTTTTTGCAACCAGTACTACCCAGCAACAAATACTCTACAAGGTATTGTCTAATGACATAGGTCAGAGTTGGCCTTGATATATCCAATAGTGGCGAAGTGAACAGTTGCGGTATAATAAAACTAGTATACAGCGAAGAGCAATCAACACAGTGCTGGTTTACTAGTTCACGGAGGAGTTTGTAGCGGTGCTGGCTGTAGTATTGATTTTTGGATATTATTATAGCAATAATTTTCCCTCATTTCATCAACAGTTAATTAGAGTTGTAGTGGTACTAACGGTCTGGTCTTAGTCAATAAATTGACATTTCCTCCTGATTGTGATAAACTTCCCACTTCTTACCGTACTCGAAGAACTCGGTCGTATCCCATGAACAAACCAGTTGTGGTCTCTTCTGCTATGTTGTGTTCCCGATATGTTCTGCTATGTTCCGTTCTGGCCTGCTTTGAAGTACTCTTTGCAGTACGCTCTCTTGCAATATAATTTCATTCAGTCAACAACTTAATTTGCAACCAGGCTTTCGACGTCAACTCAATTCGTAGATACGAACTATATAAATAGCACGCTAGTTCCAACCTGTTTGACCTTCAACTGCAGTTTTTTCCAAATCGTTGACACCAGAAGCAACACTCACATCACACACTCTCTCTCTGTCTGTGAATCTCATCCGATACTGGTTTAAGAACCTCGAAAGGTTCGAATTGACCACATGAACTCGTTGTTCACCTACCTTCAATAGAGACAACCATTGTTGTAGAAGCAACGTTCGTTACTTTTAAAAATTTAGGCATAGATGTGTGTATAGATTGTAGTCTTGCTAGTCTTGTTCAGATTGTCAATACGGCTTTGCTTTGCTTTGCTAGCTCTTAACCCACTTGTTGTTCTTGTTCTTGTTCTGGTGGTTGCTCTTGTTGTAGCTTTGACGGTATTATACCATATCCTGTTGCAGTTCTGGTTGGATGGTCTGAAGTTGAAGATGAAGATGAAGATACATATCTCTTGTCACCCACTTTCGTAACTGTTCCAATGGTTTGTTAATCATCTATTGTATTCTCATGATCTGTTCTTGCAGTTCTTGCAGTTCTTGCAGTTCTTGCATTGGGTTCTTGTTACC